ACTGTGTCTCCTGTCCTCTAACTGTGTCTCCTGTCCTCTAACTGTGTCTCCTGTCCTCTGATAGGGTGGAACTGGGTTTTCAGCGTCGGGAGTTGAGCTTCGAGCCAGAGAGTCCCGTCCAGTGATGCAGGCGTGAGACATTCTGCGATGTCAACATGTCCAAAGTGGTTCAGATCAAATTATCAGTTTGATCACGTTTTTGTAGCTTTGTCTTCAGAAGTCTTCTGATTGGACGATGTGTCTTCTGTCCATCATAGTTTACCTGTTAAAAGGAAAATTCTTCTTCAAGAAACTGTATCACTTTACAAATAAACTCTGTTTACATTCTGGTTCTGAGTCTTGACCCGGTTTGACTTGGATCAAGTCAGTTGTGTCTCCTGACTCATTGGTTCATGTCAGTGAAGAAACACGAGCCAACAGTTTATAATTTTATTTTATTGTGGCTGGTTGTGAAACTTGTCACAGCTCGTCGTGCTCGTCCACCCTCATGCCTCCGTAGTCTGTGATGGTGCTGGTCCGAATGTAGTCCAGATGTTCCAGCACTTCAGACACACTCAGCCGGTTGTCCTGATGAGCAGAGCACAACCAGGTGTGAACAAAAGAAGACAGATCTAATTTCTCTTACAACTAAAGAAACCAAGAGGCAGGTGAGACAATGTCCTGGTGTAAGAAGACAAAGGTTGGACTTCCTGTCCACAGCTGCATGTTTATTTAAGGAACCAGAGAAAAGAGGACGAATCCAGGAAAAATGGGTTTAGCTGCATCAGGGTTATTTAACTGGCGGCCCACGGGCTACCAGTCCAGCCCACCAGTGTGTTCAAAATATTTTTTTTTTTTTTGTTGGGGAGTGGTCAGAGTTGTAAGTTCTGTTTATTGTTTTCAATTCAGTTTATTTATAAAGCTCCACATCACAGCAAAGTTGTCTCAGGACTTTACAGGAACATTCACATAAAAAAGACAAGGAGTAAAGTTCTGTAAGGAAGCAGCAGACGAGTTGAATGTTCAGTCTCGTCCTGAGCAAGCACAGTGGAGACGGTGGAAAGAAAAACTCTCCTTAACAGGAAGAAACCTCCAGCAGACCCAGGCTCAGGACAAGTGGACATCTGCTTTGACCGGCTGGTTGAGAGGACAGGAAGGAGAGACGATTCATTCATGATTCAGTGCAACAAGATAAATAAATGTAAGAGTAACAGATCATTGTAACGTTTGTTAATTCCCAGAAATACTTGAACTGCTGGATGTCACAAAGTGTGGCCCCTGAACACAACCATCACCTCCTGACCCCTCACATCCACCTCAGAGAAACTTTCACAAATCATTTTTACAAATATCTGGCTGTGAGTTCTGCTAAAACCATTAGTTTTCAAATGATCCAGAGCATGAGCCTGACAAACACGGTGCTGGTGCTTCATGATGGGTTGAAGTCGAGGTGAAATTCTGAACGGAGCCAAAATACTGAAAACCTTCAGGTGTCTGCTGGAATGCTGTAGATCTAGACCTGAAGACCGCTGTGCACAAGAGACCACCAGACAGACAGAAGGTGGCCTTGACCAGGTTCAGTACACGCTGCAGGTACTGCCTCAGACCAGCACCAACTTCTGTTCTTCTCCACTGGAACTCTTAATTAAATATCTTGCAGCAAAAACATTAAGGTTTACTTTGTTAACTTTCACTCCAGAAAAACTTTCATCTTCAAAACTACAAACATTCAGTGCAACAAGAGCTCAAGTCCTCTGTTTGTTGGAACGTCTTTTATCCAAAACACGTCTTAAGTCTGACATCCTGCGAGAAACACAGCCCTATAAAAGAGAGAGTTGCGACACTCCCATACACTCCCATAGAGTCCCATACACTCCCATACACTCCCATAGAGTCCTATACACTCCCATAGAGTCCTATACACT